TACTGAAATTAAGAGTCTCCTAAAGCTTACGATTTAACACACTTCTTTAAGAAATCAGTTTAGAAATATTAGGAATGAAAAATGGACTGTTGAGCACCAGTAAAAAAACTAGGATTTTTTAAAATACATTCTCACGAACTTTTGACATGCGAAATAAACCTTTGACATTGAAAGTAGATTTTTTTCAATTGCTAAAAGTAATTACGAACTATGGTTAGATTTCATTCAATTTTCACGAACCTTTGATATCAGAAATAAACTTTTCACATAGAAAATAGATTTTTTTTCTTTTCCTTTGATGAATTTAATTACGAACTATAGTTAGATTTAAATGCATTTTTATGAACCTTTGAGATGAAAAATAAACCTTTGACATACCCAGGTAGGGATGTGCAGTTTCAGTGCAAATACTGAAATACCGACAGTGCTACACTGACACTGACGTTCACCGACGCAGTGACTGTACCGGCACTGATGTTCACCGTCGCAGTGACTGCACTGGCACTGATGTTCACTGAACCAATGACTACACTGGTACTGACTGCACTGTACTGTATAAAAAAAGGTAGAATAATAAATCTTGCTCTAACTGCAATTTTTTACAGTGCAGTGAACATCAGTGCCGGTACAGTCACTGCGTCGGTGAACATCAGTGCCGGTACAGTCACTGCGTCGGTGAACATCAGTGCCGGTGTCGTCACTGCGTCGGTGAACGTCAGTGTGACTTTGTCGGTAATCAGTATACTGAAACTGCATATCCCTATACCCAGGTCGAACATGCACGCTCGTAAACGGTCGTTTACGGAAAACAACGGAGATACACGGAGGTCGCGCTCGACTTCCGTATACGATGCGCGTATACGGAGCGATGCGATGAGAGACGGATTCCGTAAACGGAGACAGTACAAAAATACGGAATGATTAAAAGATGAATATCTGTGCTCCGTATACGGTCGTATATCACCGTGCACGATCGTACCTGGTCGTATACGGCTACCATAACCGTACAATTCAATGAACAACATGTTTTGTGCAATTTACATATATTTTTCGAAGAAAAATAATAAGTATAAGTTTAAATGCGAGATTTTCAGGCTCATCTTCCCTCGATTCCCTCATTACAGGCCTTAGCAGCCGTGGTCGAAGGTTAAAGAGTGCTGGGCACAAATTCTGCTATAGTAACCGACATATAACAAGCACCAGACTCCTTTCCCATGATTCCTTAGCAACGAACAAGGGCGCTGAACGGTGTTAACAAATACGGATCAGATTGTTCTAGAACATTTCAAAGCTTTCCTTGAAATTTAAATGGCTGAACTATGTTTTTGAATGTTATATATAGTACGGTTTCTGATTTTTGCTCAAATTAACGAGTATATGATACATATCAAAGATGGATGATAACTGGTGATATATTTATTTACTACGATCGTCATATAAGCAATACAAAAAGTATTAATTGATCAAATTCTAACTTGAGAGGACCATCAAAACCAGTATTTGATGGGCTTATCAAAGTCCATAGTAGTGCATTGAGACTTGCCGCAGATCCATTGAAGATGTACAACAGGTTAATTTCCCAAATAAATCATTGATTAGAACAAGAACAAAAATAATAGTAATAATAATAGTAAACTAAGAAAAACAAATAAAAAAATAAGTCGCAAGCGAATGACAACAACACAAATAAATAATGAAGGGCCAGTAAAAAATAATAGAAAAAACTCTGTTAGAAACCCAGAAATAAATAAGACAGATCGATTCTCAAAGGATCAATTATTCTTGAAAAGCAACTATTATCTGTTAGATATTATTCAATTTGCGTATTTTGTATTGTTATGATGAAGCCAAAGAAGACATGAAGTCCATGACAAATCTCAGCAAAAATCACCACTATAATTCCGCTCCCAATAATATATACATAGATAGATGAAGGTTTGTCTAAAAGTTTTGGTATCTTATAGAAAAATTTCTTTTTTCTCTTATAACAAATAAAAAAGAGTCAAAATTGGACTGATAGTCAAGCAGTATCAAATGAGTATCAATCTAAATGTTCACGACAATAGATTAAGTGATAGTGAAGACATATAACAGCAAATTAAAAGATTCTTTTGCATCATCTAATTAAGTAACCGGATGCCGACGATAAACGGTCGCATTTTGTATCTTTTCTTCTCAGTTTCTAATATGTTTGTTGCAAAAAAAATATATTAGAAGATAGAGCGTCAAAAGATCTACAATAAAAAGCTTATTTTATATATCGTCTCTTAGTATTCAAAATCAGCAGATTTCGAAGTGAGTGAATTCTGATGTAGCGAAAAAGTTATTTTTTATACATGATGAATTCTTTTTTTCTTTATTTTCTCTTTTCTTCATTTTCATCCATTTTGAACACTAAAAGATCATATATAAAATAAGCTTTCTATTGTGGATTTTAGATCTTCTCACGCTCCACCTTCTGATATATTTTTTTCAAGAAACATATTAGAAATTGAGAAAAAAAAGATAGAAAATAAAACTATTTATCATAGACACCGGTTACTTGATTAAATGGTACGAAAAAAATCTTTTAGTTTGAAGTTATGTTTTCACGATAGCTTGAGCTTTAGTTGTGAAAATTTAGGGTGAAACTCATCTGATATTGCTTGACTATTAGTTCAATTTTGAGCTATTTTTGATTTTTTATAAGACAGAGAAGAGGAATTTTTCTGTGAAGTACCAAAACTTTCGGATCACCCTTTAGGTAGGTAGATAGATAGGTAGATGAATAGATAGATAGGTAGACAAATAGATAGGTAGGCAGATAGATAGGTGTAGGTAGGTAGGTAGATAGATAGGTAGGTATATGTTCTAGTGATAATATCACTGATGTACGTGTAATTAAAGGTAAAAAGGTCAATATTTTTCCCACACACACGGCAAAACACGATCGTTTACGACCGTACACGGAAAAAATACGGTCGTTTACGGCCGTATATGCTCCGTATATGACCTCCGTTTTTCTCCGTATTTCGCCGTATACGGTCACGGAAATATACGATCGTAATACTGGATCATGTAATACGGTGAAATACGGTCGTAATACTGGATCATGTAATACGGTGAAATACGGTCGTATACGGAGCGTATATGGTATGTATACGGTTGTATACGACGTCGTAAACGGTCGTTTACGGAGTCCGTAACGCTCGACCTGGGTAGAGAATAGAATTTTTTCTTTTCAATTCGTGAAATTAATTATGAACTATGGTTAGATTTAAATGCATTTTCACGAACCTTTGAGATGAAAAATAAACGTTTGAGCTAGAGAATAGAATTTTTTCCTTTCAATTGATGAATTTATTTACGAAATATAGTTAGATTTACATGCATTTTCATGAACCTTTGACATGAAAAATAACCCTTTGACATAGAGAATAGAAAAAAATCTATTGTGATCATTGGATTTATTTAACTTAATCATATAATTTACTAAAAAGAAAAATAAAGAAAAAATATGTATTTCTGAATAAATGTTTACAACGGCAGTAAATCCTGTAATCCATACAAAAAATGACTTCTCTTTCTATTCTTTCTTAAAGGCACTTTCCTTTCGAACAGTTCATGTGCAAGTAATAACTATACAACGGGCACATACTCTCAAACCTCGCTCTGTCTTGTGGCCGGTTTCTTTTCAACGACCTGCTTAAACGGTGGTACATGTACGTACAGTATATCGACGAGTACAAGTACTTGTTCATGCGTTTCGAGCTCTTGGACAGGTGTGTGGGCATGTCTGGAAGATAGACAAAACTTAAACTTGATAGCCATTAAAATTCTTTTTCTTTTATCTCTCTAGGAAGTTATTGTCAAACTCGTGAATTTATATCTGACTGCTAGAATACAATCAGACAAGCCATTTCTTCTTCCTGTTTGTGTTCTTTTAGCTTTATGTCCTAATTATAATTATAATTGTGATTATGGTTCTTGTAATTCACCGTCGAGCTGTTATTGGAATAGTGGTTCGAATCTGTTCAGAAACTATCTATAAAGTGCATGTCTAGTTACAAGTACATCTAAAAATGTCCTACATATATTTTGAATTGCTCATTATCAAGGAACATGCTGTAACTCGACAATTACAAGTGGTCAATGTCTGTTGCTGAGTTCGGCGAGCACAACCTCTTGGGGTGAGCAGTCCACTGAAGGCTATCTGTTATTCATTTGAAAAAAAATATTAACTTTTATCTTCACAGGTGGTGGATTTAACAATACTTTCTATGGTCACGAAAATGATGTACTTAATGTTTCCAGCGCAACAGGAAAAACTCTTACAGTTGCTGCATGTTTCTATGGTATTAATAGTGCCACTCCTGGATGTGATGGATCGACAGTTTTGGCAAATTGTCTCTCTATGAATGTTCATCTACATGTCGTACACTATGCAATTCGAGTTATTGCTATTACACAATTAACAATGCAATTTTTGGTGACACCTGCTTTGGGCAGGTGAAGACATTTTGGATGTGTTTTACATGCTCGTAATTCGAGATAGACATATCAATAATTTTGTATATTCTTTTAAAGTTTCTCCTTCTGTTAACTAAAAGTCTACAGTGAGAGTGTGAGTGTGAGCGTGGGCTCGCTTGCGCGTGCAATTATTCTGCAAATCTTAGACCAAATCCACAGCCCAACCACACCTAGTGGAATACTTGTACAAATAGGATCATAATCCGCACCAAATTCAGATGGAATAAACCATTTGATGTCTACATCAGTTGCAGATTCAAATAAAGTTGTACCAAAACTATTGAATAATCCTTCTCCATCCACAGTCGAAATTACCATATCTTGACCAACAAGAGGTTTAATCAATGCATTTTTATTTGAATAATCGACTTTGATCACTTTAACATAGGATGAAAATGTTTTTTTTCGAATTACTACGAGAAAGAATGCTTACATTGGAGGTAGAATCAGCAAGACGAGCTGACAGAATATTTTTATCAGCAGTAAAATGTTTTTTGTAAGTATTTATAGTCATTTTTATCATTAGTCAATCATATACAGCCTCTTAGTTACTAATATTTTTATACTTTATTTTAAGTCGTAACGATGACAACACACCTCTTTGTCCTTTCTACGAGGTAGAAGTGTACATGCGCTCGAGATATTCTGTAGTGTAACGTATGCATCATCACTACGAACATATCAACGAAAAATACCATTTTATCTAGAATAAAGACAAGTGAACTGTTCCTAGGTAGCCATCAAAAAGTTACTATTAGTATAGTCAGATAACTCTCAAAAAAATACATCGATTGAATCGTAAAAGTTCCAGTATGATATGCAACAACAATTTCTGATTATCCATCATGATTCAAATCATCATCGATGACAACAAAAGGAACAGACTCATGCATTGCGTGCTAGTGAAAGAGTTTATTATCGACCTTAGAAGATATGATAAAGGGAGAGTCAGATAAAGAGATATACTTGAAGAAAAAATCCTCAGAAACAAACGAAAAAACAAATGCACACAATAAAAAAAATCAATGTGGTAGGCCATAGAACAGAAATTTTAAAAAGAAAGGCGACATTCAATGAGAGTCCGTAGTTGTGGGTGTGGGTGTGGGGGAGGTGTGTGAGTATGGGTTGAAGACGAGAACAACATCCACACCCACACCCTAACATACACATCCGAAAAGATTATCAATTGAAATCATTATCCTCTGCTTCTTCATTCTCAATTTCATAGTCCTTCAAGACCTACTGTTCTTCATTGCGAGTCGGGTCGTATACCTAACCGGCCATTCGAAGAAACTCAACAGTAGGATCCAAATCCAACGTACGACAAAGCTTCATGAACATGTATTTGACCAAATGAGATGGGAAGGAGTCCTTTTTGCGATGATATTGTACCATGACGATTTTTGCATGTCTCCAGGAGCTTTCGATGGACTTGGTACATGCACCAGTTTCAGAATCCTTGAAAGTGATCGAATGATTAACCTTCAGATGTTTATAGCTCTCATCTCCCAAACTGTCGTACGAGTCTCAACAATCGAAGATGATAGTAGTTTCTGGGAGGATCCAGTCCTTGATTATAGGAGTCAATGTGACTGCATCTCTAAAATGTTAACAACTTAATATCAGATTAATATACTAGAACTTTTAATTCGTACTAATTTATCTCTCAAAATAAAACAAACCTTTTCTCAACTGGATTCATCACAACACGGTCGGTTCCTCGTTCAAACATTCCAAACACCCATTAGCCTTCGACTCGGTGATCTTTGTAATACTTCCTGCGTCCGAACTTGGATCCATCAATTTCCACTTCAACTCCATGGCCACCTAACTTTCGCTTTTTAAGAATGAAAGCATCGTAAATCACTTCCCGGCAAAAAGAAGTCCAATTCACAGCAACCTTTTGGGAGATCTCTGCTTGCAATTCTAAAGTACAAACAGTTAAACGACGCAAAACAAACGAATCAGACATGCAATTATTGGTTACCAATAATATTCAAACCAACGTTCATAACCCACAAATTCACGAAGACCAAGATTTGCCAAATGGATAAGTGAGATCGAGCGAAGAACGTTCCTTTGCGAAATCGTGCTTGATAAGTGCATCTCTTGTTCTCCCACTTCTTTTTTTCCAATTTCGCCCCTCAGTTTCAAACCAATTGTGGCAACTCCATCGCATCAAGTCGAAGCGGCCTAGAACATTCAGGGTACATATAGTTTGACTCCTCAGGAATTAGATTCCATTGTTGCAATTGTCGGACGAGAGCTTCCTTCTCTTTACACACATCGAGAGTTGATCGAATATTGAGCGGCATATCTTAAGGGATAATCAAATATGAAAAACTAAGAAAACTCTTTTTAAGCAAAAGAACAATTTGAATTAGGACGAAATTGTTGAAACGAAACAAAATTTGATTCAAAAATTAGGTAAGGGGACCAAACACTTTTGAAACTTTTCAATGGTCTAAAATGATGTCCTGATGAATGGCGGCCCAGTTTTTTTTAGTTGTTCTATCGTTTTCTGCGTATAATAAAATCCTAGAAGTAGAAATGTTGCAAAAAGAAAGGTGTTTACGTAAAGCATACTTATGCCGAAATATCTAGTATTTGGTATAATATTTAGTGAAGATCTGATACGTTTGATAGAAGATCGAATATTTTTTTCATCTTTACTTATTTGTTTTGTTCATTTAGAGGTTTTTTTAGCATGAGTGTTAAAACAACAAGTCTCTCGTGATCGACAAGTATTGATGAAACAAAGGCAATCATTTGATCGTCAAATGTCAAGACGAAAATTGAAATTGGTGAAGATTGATTATGTATTTCGTCGAATAAGAATCAAGCTATTATGTTATGTTCTCTGAATTTTTTTAGGAATATATATTTAAAGAAAAAACCAGTCAAAAAGATTCTTCATGCAATTATATTAATAAGCCGATTTGATGCGTGTTTTAATTAATACAGCAAATTATGATCATGATCAAGTTAAGGGGGGGGGAGGGGGTCCTGTCACCCTAAGTGCCCATTTTTATAGGCTCATTAGATAGAGTATACTTTTTTACATATATTCTAGAATTTTTACGTCATTTGGTTCAAATTTGACCAAGTAATGAAATATCAGAAAATATAGGTTTTAGTCAAAAATGGGTATTGGTATTAGGTCCGTGTTTTTCAAATCGTGAATACAAAATAAAAGAAAAATATAACTATTTTTATACCA